CACACACACACACACACACACACACACACACACACACACACACACACACACACACACACACACAGGCATTGTCTTTCCTCCTTCATGGCTTAATGTCGCTGCTGCCCTTTGAAGTTTTAAGTTCTAACTGAATTTGTCCATCACACTTGGCCGATTGTGAACTTGATGAGAACAAAAAAGGTCGCTATGATTCATTACTGTCCCACTTATGAAGAGGGTGATAAGCCCATGATTATTTTGGAGTTCATTTATCACAGGTGTCCCACTTCAAGCCTTAGAGAGTACCAAGTTACTCATCCATCGTTTCCGGAGTACGACTCCTGAGTAAATCCAGGGTATCATGCCTATATTCTGTTCGAAACCAGAGTGCATGATTTGAGTGTCACATAAGTTGGTTCTGGCTGATAATTTTTCAACCACAGAATTCTTAGGTATGTCCCATCTGGCTAGCCGGCTGCATCAACAGAGATAGCTCAACGGCGCCTACTGGGGCTACCACACCTGGTGGCACCCTGGCTACCCTGGACAGTCCGACAACAGCCCTCACTCCTGGTGCTGCTTCCAGATTACAGGGTAGCGCGCCACCCCAGGGCCCCCAACGTCGCCGTTTGTGGCCTGGCAAGCCCTTCTGTGGCCACAAAACTCGCTATTGCCACGTGGCCTTACAGGGTGCACATTAACACCAACCAAAGCACCAACAATGGCCCCAAAGTACTCCTCCCCATGGAGTGATGGAGGCAGGAATTAGACCCGCATCCATGAGATGCAACCCAGGCATGCAACCAGATGTGCTGTGCTAGCCAAAGTGACCACCGTTCTTGTTTTGATACATCTGGGATGTTGTTTTTCATTCAAGTTCAGATTTGTGTGACCAAGGTGGGTCAGGTGTAAACAACTATCTAAACAAATATGTGTGCTATGGAGATCAGTAACTTTACCAATTTTTGAATTTTCCCTTTGAAGTTTGAAGTTGAAACTGCAGGATTGGCCAATTCTGAACTGACATCATCCTTGCAAACTGATCATTGTTCCTGGATTTATTTTTGTTCTTTCTTTAAACTTGAAGTCGTGAACCATTTCTCGATTTATGTGTGTCACCCTTGTGCAGGAGCCATGCTAATCTTCTCTGTATCGTTCCAATTGTAACAGATATTGCAAAGTACAAATTGCTCCTGTTTTGATACATCTGGATCATTGTTTTTCTTTCATGTTCACAACTCAGGCTTGCAAAAGGGAAGTTGAAGGGAAGGTGTTGAGATGTAAACCAGTGTCTGAACAAGCATTTGTGCTATCTACGGAGCTCAATGATTACCAAGTCGCCACACATCAACGGGGAGAGAAAAAACATAGGAACACGGCAGTAGAGGCTGTAAATCTAAATAATTTAATCTAATTACAAATTTTCACACATCTAGGGAGAGAGAAAAGACAGAGGAACAGGGTGGTAGAGTTGCAAATCTTACTTGACAGCGATTGGCCTGGATAGGAGAGAACTTCATTGTGTACGGTCCAGCAAGATCTAGCGCACCAACCAAGAAAAGACATGTGTCCAGAGCTGCTTCATTGAGGAACATGTCCACCTGCAGTAATGGAAGACGTGTGCAAAAACACCTGCGAACATTAGCAATTCCAATTACCTGCAAAACAATCGGCAAATCTGTCTCTGTACTTTGATCCCCCGAGCGAGTTTGGCAAAAGTAAGCCAGCTGACTATCGACTTATTCTGTGATTGTTAACCGCGAGGACGCGGCAACAGTCAATGCTGTGCCTGTAGTGACTGAGCGCTTACAACCAGGTGGAGGTAGGCCTTTTGTTGTGCAATGGCAGAACAAGGAAAGGTTTAGCAGGCTCAGAATAGCCCTGCCCAGGTTTCACCGCATTTGCTCTTTTTTTTCATTTCTGAAACTCGACGGGGTATTGCATACATAGGGAAGATTTTTCGAGGTACTCCATGCTCATAACGGACTGCCTCCTCGTGATTGTCTTTCCCACAGAATGGCACCACTAAGAATAGAGGATGGGACAACACGGGTTACAACACTCCGGAATGGATGGATATCAGATATGGGGACTGTGAATGAATGGGGTTTGGCCAGGACGTAATTGAAGCGTCTTCAGCATACTTGTGGCGCACCGGCACTGTTGCATACTGTAACGGTGCAGACCAGAACAAGAACCGACCTCTCAATACAAAGTATAAGATAGCACAGCGGAAGACTTAGATACCAATGATCCGAACAATCAATATTGCAWTGCAGCCCCAAACATACATCATCATCATCATTCCATGGTGTGAAGGGGTCTGGCGCTTCACACAGGAAGACTGTGCCAGCCCCAACCATACACAGACGAAGGAGATGGGGGTTAGACGAAGCAGAGGGGAAGATGGGAATGTCGTCAACACCAAGTGTTCAGCACAGGCCCAAATAGTCCCTCGTCGAAATGTCTGAATCCCAAATGTCGAGTCTGGATCCAATGTCGTCAAGTCTCAAGTCACAACTCTCTCTCTCTCTCTGTAGTAGTCCGCTGATACTGAGAAGTCAGGTGGTGAGAGGGGAAGAAGAGATGGTGGACAAAGAGGAGGAAGAAGAAGAACTCTCTCTCTCTCTCTCTCTGTGTCCAGTACTAACCTGTGAAGTTGGCGCCTTGATGCAGGTACCTCGAAGATGGAGCTGGAGCTATGGCGCCACAGGTAAGTACCGCTGGCCTCCGCCAGCCATCTCCCTCCACTGCAACTACTACCACCTACTAGCGCCCAGCGCTGAAGACTACAGCTATGGCTATGGGCGCCCAGCGCCGAAGACTACTACTAGCGCTACTACTACTGCATAGCGCTGAAGACTACTGCAGCGCTCCTCCTGAGTGCTGCGGCCGAAATCTGAAGACTACCGTCCTACTCTCCAACTGCCTACCCGTTCAGTGCCTGAAGCTCCTATGTACTATCACGGGTGCCTCCTGACTTGGGCGAGCAGTCCAGGAGGCTGCTCTTGCCAATAATGCCGAAGGGAGGCAGGGGCTGCAGCTGCAGCTCCTGGTCGTGCTCTTGCCAATAATGCCGAAGGGAGGCAGGGGCTGCAGCTGCAGCTCCTGGTCGTGCTCTTGCCAATAATGTCGAAGGGAGGCAGGGGCTGCAGCTGCAGCTCCTGCTCGTGCTCTTGCCAATAATGCCGCAGGGAGGCAGGGGCTGCAGCTGCAGCTCCTGCTCGAGCTGGCGTGGGAACAGGCCAGAAATAGCCTGTTCCGAAACCCAGTTTTCGTGCCTGAATCTTAGGGCAGGTCGAAACAAATGAGGGCCTAAAAATAGCCCAGGGCCTAAGAATAGCCCTCCGTTCCAGGCTGGAAAAACTCTGGGTCTGAAAGACCCAGAAATAGGCTGAAACGGAGTAGGACCTGCAGGCCCTCGTTTTTCAGTTTTCAGGCTGAAATGACAGGGGCCTGTAGCTCCTAAGTTTTAGGCTTTTAGGCTGAATGTCCGGGACGGGTCCTACAGGGCCCGTGTGGCTACGCAGTCTGCCACAGGCACTGTGCGCTGCGCAGCGCGCGCACCCGCGGTGCACGCACACCGGTGCGCACCACGCATCGGCGTGCGCAGTTGCAGCTGCGCACGTCTGGTGTGCTGCGCGATTGTGCACAGTGTATATTTCCATGTTCTAGCAGTAGATACATTTGATTTTGCTCATCCTGTCGATGGAAGTACCAGGAGTCCAGCTGCGGCGTTAGAGACTTAGCTGCTCTCTCTCTCTCTCTCTCTCTCTCTCTCTCTCCCTTCCTCCCGACTTCTTCCGCCTTCCCACCATCGGCCTTTCTCCCGACTTCCGCCACCCACCATCGCTACTTCTCTCTCCCTCTCCCAGAAGAAGGAGAAGGAGAAAGGAGAAAAAGGAGAAAGGAGGAAGGAGAAGGAGAAGAAGGAGAGGAAGGAGGAAGGAGGAAAGGAGGAAGGAGGAAGAAGGAAGAAGAAGAAGAAGAAGAAGAAGAAGAAGAAGAAGAAGGAGGAGGAGGAGGAAGAGAAGGAGAAGAAGGAGGAGGAGAAGGAGGAGAAGGAGGAGAAGGAGGAGAAGGGAGGAGGAGGAGGAGGAGGGAGGAGGAAGAAGAGGAAGAAGAGGAAGAAAAAAGAAGAAGAAGAAGAAGAAGAAGAAGAAGAAGAAGAAAATGGAAGAAAAAAAAGAAGTTGACTGGATATGGCTAAAAGGGGGGGGAGGAAGAGGAGGAGAAGGACAAAAAAAATACGACGATGAAGAAGAAGACGGACAGGTGATAACGAAAGGAAAGAAAAAAAAAATTGTTTGTCATGGCTATGGCTTAGCGAGGGAGGAGGAGGAAGAAGGAGAAAAAGAAGATGAAGACGAGAGAGGGAGAAGTAGAAGAATAAGCAGACGTACTGGAACTTGACGTCTCGGGAGGAGAAAACAAAAAAAAAGGCTCAACATTGCTATGCTATGGATATGTTGAAGTGGGGGAGTGGTGGGCCCTGAAACAGTTTCACCCAGTTTACCTGAGAGCTGCAGACAGTAG